CTAAATATTGAAAAAAAATTATGAATATTAATTTTTTTTCTTTTTCGTAAACATACCTCCCATGGATTAGGAAATAATCTTTTTAAATCTACTTTTTCTTTACAATATGGACATGTTTGTTTTTTTCCAACAATACACCAACCACGTATACAGAATTCATGAAAATTAATCAAATTAAATTAGAAGAAACATTTTCGAAAACGAAAAAAAGAATAAAACAAATATGATAATAATTACGTATGACCACATTGTAATTTAAATGTTTGTTCAATTAATGCTTCTTCATTATTTTGTACTAATATTGGATTAGCACAAACAGCACATGTATTAGATTCTAATGCTCGTTTAGGTAAACCTGTTTCAGAATAATACTAAATAGAAAATAATTAGAATTTCATTAGTTTTTATAAAATATTGTACTCCAATTTTTGATGCCATTCGATCAGTACATGATTCAGCCAAATCTCTTCCAAGTACACCATAATATATTCCATAAAACATAATTAATATTCCAAAATCAAGTGCAGTCTATAATTGATAACTAATTTTAAAATTAATCATAAGAAGTTATTCAGCAATCATGTAATTAGTTTAGAGGGAGTGAGATGAATCTCGAAAATATTAGCTTAAATCACATTCTCCTGCCTTTCAGCTGTCGTGCAGTATGGAGTGCTACCTAGAGGTAGAATCAATAGTCCAGGTCGATGATTCCAGTCAACGGATCCCACCGGAACCTGCAGGAACCGGCCCATTTTCCGGCTAATTCCCGCCGGTTCCCGTGCAATTCCTGCCGGAACCGACCGGAAAAATACTGGAAAGGGGGGCAGTATTCCGGCCGGAAAGTCATCGCACCAGGAACCGCTCAATTACAAAACTTTTCCATTCACCGGAAAACGTTGGATAATCCATCGTATCCATCACGGAACACACCATAGCCATCACGGAACACACCGGAAACACATCGTATCCATCACGAAATACACCCGAAACACACCGTATCCACCACGGAACACACCGGACACACCGTATCCATCACGGGATACACCGGAGACATACCGTATCCATCACGGAACACACCGGGCACGCCATATCCATTACGGAATACACCGGAAACATACCATATCCATCACGGAATACACCGGAA